TGGGGCAAAAACGTTCTGCCCCATATGGTCACGGCATTAGGACACTTTCACCCCTACCGCCATGTGAGAGGACACAGGAAGCACTGACTAACAGACCTTGACCAATCACAGAGAAGGGAGGAGGAAGCGGGGAAGTTACCTTGTTCAAGAAAGGACGTCTTCAGTAGCTGTGGGGTAATGGGTGAATGGTCATGGAGATGCTGGAGGCCTTCAGCCCCCGAGGGACAAAAGGAAGGTGTGGCCTCCAAGACTGAGCACTTCGAGAAGGGGTGTTGGCTCTGGAGGCCATCCAGGGTGGCTTGGTCCAGGGCTGTGTGGGCCTGTCATGCCAAGGGGGCATACATGCCTGGAATACAAAGGGCTGGTAGCCTGGCCACTGCTCTCCCAGAGAGGGGGTCTTAGTTCTAGAGGAGCCTAAAAGAGACCTGGGTCTGGGGTCCTTCAGCAGCAGCAAGAACCTTCCCCAGAGTGTGGCTTCAGAGCCACCACAGAGCTGGTTGTGTACACAGCAGCTTGAGGCTAGAAGAAACAGCTCTGGTTAGGGTATCAGGAGAAAGAGTGTGGTGTGTGTGTGTGTGTGTGTGTGTGTGAGAGAGAGAGAGAGAGAGAGAGAGAATGTGTGTGTGGTGTGTGGTGTGAATGTGTAGTGTGTGTGCCTGGTGTGTGGTGTGTGTGTGTAGTGTGTGTATGGTATGAGTGTGTGTGCTGTGTGTGTATGTGGTGTGTGTGTGGTATGGTATGTGTGTGTGTGTGTGTGGTGTGTATGTGGTATGGTGTGTGTGTGTGGTATGTGTATGTGGTATGTATTGTGTATGGTGTGTGTATGTGACGTGTGTGTGTGGTGTGTGTATGTGGTGTGTATTGTGTATGGTGTGTGTATGTGATGTGTATGTGTGTGTGGTGTGTGTATGTGATATGGTGTGTGTGTGTGGTGTGTGTATGTGGTGTGTATTGTGTATGGTGTGTGTGTGTGATGTGTGTGTGTGGTGTGTATGTGTGTAACCATTGAAGATGTCAACAAAGGAGTACTTGAGTGAGACGTGGCTCAGCAGTAAAGACAGTCAAGTGTAATGTATGTGACAATAAGACAGAGCTGCTCCATGTCAGGGAAGCTAATTATGATCTTAAGTTTTCTGCACAGTGACACAGTTCCCACTGATCACTGGCTAGCAACATGTACTATCTAAGGAATATTCAAGATGTTGTCCTAAATCTCTTTCATGAAGAGAGATCAAGGGGCTGGATGTGGCTGTCTCCTGTCTGTGACCAGCAGCTGGGACCTGAGCCCCAGTGTCCTGTGCTTCCCTGGGAGTCTGTGGTGGCCTCTGGTGTGGCTGCACGGTTGGCCCTCTCAGTAGAAAGGCCTCAGTTGGAACATCCCTTTCTCTACACTTTGAACTTTGGACTTGCAGTTTCAATCGGGGTTTCCTGTCACCACGCTTGCTTTCTTTATGAGGGAAATGTAATCTCTCCAGTCCAGACTGTAAGAGCATGCAAATCAGCTAACAGTGCTGTTTTTGTGGAGTTCTCTGTGTATGCAAAACTTCCCAGAATAAATCAGTCATCCACAAACGGGAGGAGGCCAAGGGACAGAGCAGGAAAGAGAAAGTGGGGACCAGGGAATGGAGCAATGTTCTAATGTGGTGAAAGGTCCCAGGCTGGCCTGGATACCCAGAGGCGTCCATTGGCCGCTATATCTCTTGCTGCCACAAGATGGCAGCACATGCTAGCCATGGTATTTGGTATTCAATCTGTTCTTGAACGCAGCCAGGCATGGGGTCCAAGGCCCCCAAACTCACGGCCATACCTTTTCTGTTTGTTTGCTCTGCCTCTCTGTGGTTGAGTCTAGGGAAACTCCAATTTTTTTTCTTCAAATGGACCCAGTGGAAGAAGGGACCTTGTTGGTTAAGTGTGGTGTGGTGGCCTGGCAGCATCCAAGGACTTTGGGGGGGGGCACCCTGATGTCCCAGCACAAATGTGCAACGCTGAACTTTCGGAAGATGGGAGAGGAGGAGGGGAAATGAAGGGAGAGAAGGGAGAAAAATGAGAGAGAGGAGGAGAGGAAGGAAAAGGGGTAAAGAAAGGGAAGGGTGTGCGAGGAAAAAAGGGGAAGAGAATGACGGAAGAAAGGGAAAGAAAGAAAACCTAAAGAAAGCGATCCCCACATCCCCAAAGCTAGGGACCGTAAGTGAATGCTTTACGTTTTAATTTCTCATAAGCTAGCCCTCCTTTTCACCCAAACGCCGCTCTAAGTTTCTGGAGAAATTTCCAGTGGGCCAGAAGCTCCTGTGAAGTTTTGATAAGCAAATGTGGCTGCCCTCGCACCCCAGTCATTGGCTGACGCTGCAGCCGCCAGATTTTGACACAAATAATCAGATTGAAAATCAGGGAGGGGAACAGAGGAGAAAAAAAAAACAGAGGCAAAAAGGAGAAGTATCTGTTTGTGCAGAGACTCATAAAGTTGACAGAGCTGAGTGAGAGCCGTCCCCAGGGACTGTGTGGAGGTCCAGGCTCTCAGGATCCTCAAGCAGAATTCAGAAAAGGGTCAGCTCCTTGCAGGTGAGTGCTGCCAGACCTGCTGTGGCTGGGGTCTGCTGAAAAGTCCCTGTCCTGAGACTCCGGAGCAGAATGGCTGCTCCTCCTTACAGTTGGAGGAGGAATATTGTGGTAGTCTCTCTTCTGGATGCACGGCTCATCACCAGGGGGAGAGAAGGAGGAAGGAGTGCGGGCCAGTCTGTGATGCCCTGTGCTAGTGGAGGGATCATGACTTCCTTCTGGAAATTTTGAGAAACTTGGTTGTCTCACCCTGACTCTCTCTCTCTCTCTCTCTCTCTCTCTCTCTCTCTCTCTCTCTCTCTCTCTCTCTCTCTCTCTCTCTCTCTCTCTCTCTCTCTCTCTGTGTTCTTGACTCTGTTTGAGCATCCATAGCTCTTCCTACCTACTTTTAGAGGAAAAGGCAAGTTTGTGTTCTTGGGCTTCTTGGGAAATAGGGTTCATTGCATAGGTGCCCCGTAGATGCTGTTGGTCTGTGGCTGGGTCTTGGGAAAGCCAGCATCTTTATGAGACCACTAGGCGGAAATTCAAGCCAGCTCTGGCTACGGCTATGACAGCACTGGGTGCTTGCAGAACTGTGCCTATCCATCCACCTGTGCTCTTCTAAGCCCTGCAAAGTGGTGACTGCCCTCCATCAGGAGAAGCGTAACATTTCAATTTAGGGGTCAACATGCAGAAAGTTCTTTGGGGGACTTGGGCTGTTCTGCATCTTTACGTTTGACTGAGAGAATCACTCCAATGGTGCTCACCATTCCCGGCACTTCAGGAAAGGGCGGGGAGGACCAGGGGGAGATGAGGGTCCCACTAGAGGTCTGGGACCAGATAGCTCGAGGTCTCCCTTCGCTGGGACACACCAGAAGGCTCCTAAGTGTCTGAAGGTGTGTGTTTTTACCCCTTTCTGGTGGCGACCCCAGCCACAGAGCTACCCTGCCTCTAGTGTGGGCGCGTGCACGCAGGGTTTCACTTACTCAGCTTTGTCTCCATTGTGGTAAGACGGCTACATAAAGTTGACCACCTTTTGCTTTTGATTTGTGTGGCACTCCTGTGCATGGCGCACGGAATTCAAGGGCTACCACAGAGGTACACTCCAAAACCCCCTTCTTCTTTCCTTGTTTGCTATGTAGTTTAAAAAGACCCTCAGTTTCTGATTCTGCCTCCGCGCGCTCTATCCTGAGCTACATCTCCAGCCCCTTTTTTTCTTTTCCTTCACTCTTCTTTTATCTTTCCTTTCTTTTTTTTAACTTAAAATCGTTATCATTAACTAGGCGTTGTGGCGCACGCCTTTGACTCTAACACTTGGGAGACATAGGTAGGTGGATCTCTAGGAGTTCGAGGCCAGCCTGGTCTACAAAGAGAGTTCTAGGACAGTCAGAGCCACATAGAGAGACCCTATCTCAAAAGGACAGAAAAAAAAGCATTATTATTGCTATTATTGTTAGGGTTTGTTTTGCACGTGAAAGATGTGGGGGTACACATACCATGGCGCAGAGGACGGGTTAACAGAGTCCATTCTCTTTCTACGGCATGGGTTCTAGGGGTTAGATGTAGATCATCAGGCTTCCATGGCTAGCGTTTTACCCGCCAAGATGTCTCACAGACCCGCCTTCTTTCCTTTGAGGCAGTGTCTCCCCTGTTCGTCCAGGCTGGCCTGGAGCTCCTGGGCTCACACAGTCCTCCTGACTCCCTCCCAGGTAGCCAGGACCTCAGGTGCTCGCTCTGCGCCTGGCTCATCTGATGAACTTTTCATTAGCTATCAAGTGGATTCACCTTGTACAACCACCCCCAGCATCCATCCCAGGCTGTTTGTTCTTGTGAAACTGAGACTCCACACCTATTAACCAGTAGTATTCCCCCTGCTAACTTCAAGCCTACTCCAGTCTCTGTGAATCTGCCTATTCTGAGCAAGTATGTGACACTTGTCCTTCTGTGGCTGGCTTATCTTGCCTCCCACGTTCTCAGGGTCCACCATGCCATGCACGCTGGAGTTTCCTTTGGTGGGTAGACTGAATCACACTGCGTGCTTTGGCCTGGCTGTACCTTGCTTATCCATCCTGCCTGGCTGGAACCTCATGCTGTCAGCCCTTGAGGACGGGGTTGCCATGGACGTGCAGTCTCTGAACTCTGTGCTTCAGGGTATGCCTGACAGTCACTTGCTGGCTTCATGTGTTTCTTTGGTGGTGCTGGGGGACTGAACATTCAATTCACTGGCTTTAGGCTTCCTAAGGGGATCCAGGCTCCTGGCCCACGACTCTGTGAGACGGCTTTGCATTTTGTTAGTTCCCTCCTTCCCTTCTGCCCTTATACACAAGGAAGTCCAAAGGGCCCCCTGTAGCTGACCCCGAGAATAAACTCAGTCTTGCCCAACCCTCCTGAAAAGGGAACCCAAGTGACCAGTGTCTCAGGCAAGGTGGGTCAGTCCCTAGCTGAAGGTCAACAGATTGTACATGGGATTTTAGAGTAAAGGGGAAGTTTAGAAATCTCTTAGCCCAACCGTCTCTTCTGAGAGATAGGAAAACCAAACCCAGGTTAGCGGCTCCCGCGGTCACAGAATCTGACTGGTCTCCACTGGTTGTACAAGGTGTCTCGAGTCCAGGACAACAAATCCTGATGAGCCCATTAGACTCACAGCCTGGGGCTGTAGGATGCTGTCCCTCGAGGCCGCCCCAACTGAGGTTCTGACTCAGGGTCGGCAGACCCTCTATCCATAGAGTCTGTGGGAATAGAAGGTTTATGATGCATGCTGACAGGGGCCTCTTTCCGGAGGCCAGATACCATCACTGCCTCTGTTTTATGAAGAAATCTAAGTGTCTTTCACAATCTCTGCCCTGAGCTTTCTCAGATGCTGCGTGTGAATCAAAACCGAGTGGTTGTTAATTAACTACACTACAGGTAATTTGGTTCCTGTTTTCTTTCTTTCTTTTTTAAACTCGGCTAATAAGGAAATTCTCTGGGTACACTTGGCTCCCACTGTAGGCTTGGGGGTCTGACCAAGTGCTGGCTGTCTTTCTACCAGGTTAGGGGAGAGAATGCACTGGAAGGGAAAGGATAAAGGCTAGGGAAATCCAGTGGGAGGACCCCCCCCCCTCCCCCCGCAAAAAAAAAACAAAAAAACAAAACAGGACCTCTTGCTTCCCAAGTGAGCACAAGGCACCCAGTAAGCGCTTATGGATGTTGGAGGTCATGGTCCTGCGTTGTCCTGGGTTTTGGTTGACTTACCTAGGATCACCTTTAACTCTGGGCCACCAGCAAAACTGCCGTTAAGAAATCTGTTTTTGCCGGGCGGTGGTGGCGCACGCCTTTAATCCCAGCACTCGGGAGGCAGAGGCAGATGGATCTCTGTGAGTTCGAGGCCGGGCTGGTCCAACAGCCTCCAAAACAACACAGAGAAACCCTGTCTCGTAAAACCAAAAAAAAAAAAAAAAAAAAGAAAGAAATCTGTTCTTATCTGCTTTTCACCTGAAGCTAGCTGATCAGGACCCTGGGTGGGGTCTTTGGGGATCAGAGGAATATGACTTCTCGTTCTGGCCCCCACTTTCTTTTCGTGCTGTAGTCTACACCAATGGCTACCGTGAGGAGTAGAGATGGCATGGGGGAGAGGAGGACAGTAGTCGGGAGTCAAGTCCAAACAGGACAGTAGCCCTGGGCCTACCTCTGCCCTGACCTTGGAGGAGTCAGCATCCTCTCTAAGCCTTGAGGTCCCCACCTGCCACCTGAGGACACTTCCTACTTCCCTGTCCCCGGTGACATAACGTACACAGCCGAGCTGTGCCCATGGCTTCTTTCCTTCCTTGGTGCGGTAGCCGTGTCTCAGGGAGAACCTGCCATGAAAGGCCCGGCACAGCCTGTGGCAGATAGGCCACACTGAGTAACTGCTGCCCCCCACTAAGAGTGTGGAGGTCCTGGAGCCAGATGGACACATCCTGCCTGGCCTTGTTCTGCCTCGAGCAGCCTCAAAGCCTGGCTTCTCTTCTGTGAGCAGCGGATGGAGCAGGGCTTCATTGAAGGCGCTTAGGCGGGCTAAGGCAGACCCTGGTTACCGTTAACTCTTTTTCCTGTTGTCCTGTCTTGACTGCTTTAGACTGCACCTTGGTTTTAGCTGATTTCCTGAGAAAATAATGTGTGTAAAAGAAAATCAACCAGCTTTTGATTACTTGTAGCTCTCGAGGCCTTCCTAGAACAAAGATGGAGGGGCACCGATCCCGCCCCCCGCGGCTCAGGGTTTAGAGTCCCTCAAGTGAAGAGTTGGGAAGATTCAGAGGGGGGAAGGAGAAGCCCAGGAGGAGAGGGGGGCAGGGGAGGAAGGCTGTCCCTGGAAGATAAGGTCGTGGCTGCTGTGTGTACCAGGAAGAGCAGCGGCCCCTCCAAATCCTTTGTTTAGAGAACTGAGAATCTCTCGGTGGAATGGACCCAAGAGACTAAGTCCCATCCTTCATTTTAGAGTTCAGAGAACGGAGGGTCTTGAACTTGTGCCGGTTCTCTGGTTCATCCTTAGAGTGCACCTGCTGAGCTAAGTCAAGCTTCCCTCCTGGCCCCTTCAGCTCCTCCACAGTGAGTGGAGGCGCCCTGCGATGGCTCAGCCTAGGTGCCTGCCGTGCGCCTTGCACACCCAAGGCCCTTTCTTGCTCCCAACAACGCTCGACATTGAATCAAGTCCCCCTCTTAGTTGATCTGAACACAGGCTCCACAGCAAGAAGGGCTGGGCCTGGCTACCCTGAAAACAGCTCCAAACATTGATATTCCCCAGCAGGCCTCTAGGCTGGGGGAAAAGCAGACTTGAGGTTCACCCCCTGAGGCAGGAGTGACTTGAGGGCCATTGCCCCAAAGCTAAGCTCCAAGCTGTCTTTCCTAATCTTGCCTCCCACCCCGGTCTAAGCTAAGGTCTTATCGCCTAGCCTGCCTGCACTGTTGTTCAGACGTAGCCAAATCCTTTTCCCGCCATTGCTGGGCGTATCAGAGATGCAGCCTTCAGCGCGCAGCTGGTCCTGGGTGGGGGTGGGACTCCTCCCAGGCTTTCGATTTTTGGCCTGAACAGTCTAGAGTACAGGGAAGATAGAGGACTCCGAAGGGGCTTCTGTCTCCTGGGAGAGTACCACACAGGCTAAGGCAGGGATGCAAGTCATCTGTAGGCGGGCAATCACACGCTGCCCTAGAGGACTCAGCAGGAGACATCTCAGGTCAGAATGGTTCCCACCTTCTAACTTGGGCAAGTCCTTTGACTCATTTGGCCCTCAAATTCTCCTCTAAGCCCTTCTAGGAATTTAAGTAATGATGCTCACTACTGGAATTGATAGACATTCACCTTTTCAGCTCCACCCACGAGGAAACAGCAGACCTCCGGGTGTAATGGATGGGTCTCCTCAGGCCTCTTTCCAGGATGCACAGACAAATCCCTTCCCTTTCTGGGGAGCAGACCGCAGGCTGAAGGTCAGACCCCAGCAGCTCTCAGCCTGCGGGGCAATACAGGTTTACAATTAAGGCTCTCCTATCTCAGTTGCCCCAAGTTCCTCTGTAATTGCCCCCACCTCAACCCTTGCCAAAGGTAGGCAGTGAGAACCTGGGGCAATATGAACTTTAGGGGAGCATTATACAACCCAACACAAGGTTGGGTGTCTTTGATCTCCGGAGGAAGCTCCAAAACCCAAAGGAGTGATGCTTGTCATTCTCAGCCACGCCCACCCTTCCCCACCTTGCAGGTGAGGCACACACTCTGAAAGAATGCCACGATCCTTCCTGGTGAAGAGTAAGAAGGCACACACCTACCACCAGCCCCGAGCCCAGGACGACGACCTGGTCTGGCCTCCTGCTGTAATTCCTGGTGAGTGTGAGCTCAGGCTAGGCCACACCCCATGCCCACTTGGCACTCTGTTCTGATGATGCCGTGGCATGTCTTCTGCACCTAGAAGGAGTGGCCTAGCTGTCACTGATTAAGTGAATGAATGAGTAAGTGAATGAATGAATGAATGAAATACCCATCTCCTCTAACATTTGTGGTTCTGGGAGCATCAGGCTTGGAGACAGGTAGGGACATGTGAGTCCAATTGAGATCTGAGGTCAGGGTGCTCCGGGTTCCCTTACCTCCACCCATCCCGGGCAGAGGATCTGGTGTGAGCAGCAGCAGGTGGGTGTCCCTGGCTTGCCTCTCCCTGGAAACACGGTGTCTCTTGCTCCCTGCAGGCATTCCAGGTCTGCAGGTGGTGACTCTTGGGTCTTGTTTCCCCCACAGTGGTGAAAGAGCATATCAGGGTCAGTAGCCCTGTCCTTGGCACACTACTCCCAAGCCAGACCCTGGACTGGAACACAGTCAAAAAGGAGCAGGAGATGTTGCTGGACCAGAGCCTGCCCAAGATGGCCTCAGCTCCAGGTACCCAGCTGGGGTCCCCACCATCTCCTGCAAGTGCTGGAGAGGAAAGCGGTTGGCCTCTGTGGTAGGACTTCTTGGGTGTCACGTAGTTGGGAAGGACCAGTGACGTCACTGGATGCCTCCTGGGCTCTCTGCTTCTGTTGGACATTTCCAGCCAGGTACTTGCTCCAGATGAGGACGTCTGTGCTATGGGTGTGAAACAGCAGAGAGGTCCACAGGGCGGTGGTCAGGTGGTGCAGTGAAGACTTACAGAAATAGCACATATTGGGGCTGCACACTGGAACCTTCAACAGGAGATCACCAGGGGAGATGGAGCACTGACCTCCTTATTTCAAAATTAATCACCTGAACCAGCTGGTAGTGGTGCATGCCTACAATCCCAGCACTCAGGAGGCAAAGGCAGGCTGATCTCTGTGAGTTAAAGGCCAGCCTGGTCTACATAGAGAGTTCTAGAACAGCTAAGGCTACATAGAGAGCCCCTGTCTATAACAAACAAACAAATAAAATTAATCACCTGATGGCCAGAGAGATGGCACGGCAGTTAGGAATGCTGGCTGCTCTCCCAGGATGTGAGCACCACAAGGTAGCTTGCGGCTGCCTGTAGCTCCTGCTGTGGGATCCAGCGTCCTCTTCTAGCCTCTGAGGGCACCTGCACGTTCATGGCACACACACACAGGTGTACACTTGCATAAATAGAGCTAAAAGTAAATCCTTAAAATAACTCACCCGCACGTGTCTTTACACAGAAGGGCCTCTTGTGACATCCCAAGCCCAGGATGGGGAGTCTCCGGTCTCCGAGTCACCCCCTTTCTACAAGCCCAGCTTCTCTTGGGACACTCTGGCCTCCTCCTACAACCACAGCTACCAACAGGCGCCCTCCACCATGCAGTCAGCTTTTCTGGAGCGCTCCGTGAGGCTGTACGGCAGTCCCCTCGTGCCCAGCACTGAGTCCCCCTTGGACTTCAGCCTCCGCTACTCTCCAGGCCTGGACACTTACCACTGTGTCAAGTGCAACAAGGTGAGTGACGGGTATGGGCGGCATGCAGGTGTGGAGGGGCCCTCTGGACTCCTCCTACGCCTCCATTTTACAGACAGGAAACTGCCACAGAGAGGTAAGGGGACTCCCTGGGATACACAGCAGGACAGCCGGACCACCGATACGGTTTCCTTCCTCGCTTCATCCCACTCTGGGGCTGGGCCTGTGACCTGGACGACTACAGGCCTGCCTTCTCCTAGGGGCCTGACGCTCTGCTCTGTCCCAGGTGTTCTCCACCCCTCACGGACTAGAAGTGCACGTGCGCCGCTCTCACAGCGGAACCCGACCCTTTGCCTGTGACGTCTGCGGCAAGACCTTCGGCCACGCTGTGAGCTTAGAGCAGCACACACACGTCCATTCCCAGGTGAGCAGCTGGGTGAAAAGGCTGGAGGTGACACACGCTGGTGTGTGAGGGGGACTCGCTACTTGCTTCCCCCGGTCTGGGTCTCTGGTTAGCTGAACTGGAGCTGGCTCTCTGTCTTCCACTTCCCAGCCTCCCACAGCCCACCCAGGCCACTGCTAGAACCGCCCCAATGCAGAGAAATGGAGAAATCTACCAGCACCAGGCTAAATGGCTTGCCCCCAAATCATATGGCTGCTGGGCTGGGGAGGTGTCTCTGTTGGGAGAGTGCATGCCTAGCGTACATGAGCCCCTTGGTTTGAGCCCCACCACCAAATGAACCGGGAATGGCTGTGCACATAACAGCATTCAGAAAGTGAGGCAAGAGGGTCAGAAGTTCAAGGTCATCATCACCTATATAATAAGTTCAAGGTCAAGCTGGGCTACGTGAGAACCTGTCTTCACTAAACTGACCCAGTGTGTCACTGTCCCACGCACAAGGAACTCGCTCTGGGTTACTGCTGAATTCCTGAAAAGCTTAGATTAGTGGTTTCCTCGGACAGTCAACAAACACACCCTAGGGCTTGCTTTGAGGATGCTGTGAAAGGCACAAGGAACTATCTCAGAGGAAGCCAGTCAAGACCCAGCATCAGCCTAAGCCGAGGAAACAGGAATAGGGGTGGGGTTCTTCCTGCTCCTCTAGACCCCTGTCCTTGAGGCCACCCCAACGGAGTGTCCTCTTTCTCAGGCTGTCCCAGCCGGGTCCAGTCCTGCACCCAGCTTGGCTGTCCCGGGCCTCGAGGCCCCAGCTGCACCTGACCCCCCAGGACCTCGTTTCCTCCGGCAGGAGCGTAGCTTCGAGTGCCGGATGTGTGGCAAAGCCTTCAAGCGCTCATCCACCCTTTCTACCCACCTGCTCATCCACTCGGACACTCGGCCCTACCCCTGCCAGTTCTGTGGGAAGCGCTTCCACCAGAAGTCAGACATGAAGAAGCATACTTACATCCACACAGGTGAGTGCACCCACAGCGGGCCTGGGAAAAGGCCATAGGGTCTCCTTGACCTGGTCTCTGGGAACCCCATTATTTGCCAAGAGCCCACTTGATGGGGGTGGCATGGAGGGCCGGACAGTCATTCAATGGAAACAAGCACTAGAAAGACAGCCAAGTCAGCCTGGACCTTCGGCCAGAATTCAGACAGCGTGTGAATTATTCATCCACCCCCTCACACGGCCCTACACTCTGTCACACTCTCCCCACTATAACTTGGTGCTCGTTTGGACCAGTCCTTGCACAAGCCATGGGGATCTGTTGGGAAACAAGGAAGGTCTGTGCTAGCTTGGGCCAGCTTAGACTCCAGAGGGAGGCGGCATCGGTTACTTAGCGTGTTATATGACAAGGATGCCTGTCGGAAGCTGCTTACGAGAAGGGTAGGAAGGCATGGCGGCAGGAGCATGAGGCAGCTGGTCACATGGCCTCCACAGTCAGGAAAAAGAGGGAGGAAGGCTGGGCTCAGCTCGCTCTCTGCCTTTAATGCAGAGTGGGTCAGGACCCCAGCCAATGGAACAGTGCCAACCACAGAAAGTTCCTTGTAGACACTCCCAGAAGAGTGTCTCCTGGGTGATCCCAAGTCCCATCAAGTTGACAGTATTGACCACCAGAGAGGCACCTTGGTTTGTTTGTTTGCTTGCTTGCTTATTGAGACAAATTCTCATGTAGCCCAGGCTAGCCTTGACGTTACTATGAAGCTGAGGCTGACATCACCCTCTCAACCTCAAAATTCCCCTGCCTCTGCTTCCAGGGTGCTGGGGCTGGTTGTGAACCACCACAGCTGGTAAAGGACAGGTCAATCTTTCTTTTTTTTTCTTTTTTCTTTTTGGAGATAGGGTTTCACTGTGCAACCCTGGCTGTCCTGGAACCCACTCTGTAGACCAGGCTGGCCTCAAACTCAGAGACCCACCTGCCTCTGCCTCACGAGGGTTGGGATCTAGGTGTATGCCACCACTGCCCGGCTCTTTTCCATCGTTTCTAAGGTTGGCCATTAAAAAAGACAGACTAGAGAATGGATGTCTGCAGGATGGAGGCCGTAGGCCTGGTGCTGCCATCTAAGCCCACTCTGCTGCTTTTCCCTTCCCCAGGCGAGAAGCCCCACAAGTGCCAGGTGTGCGGAAAGGCCTTCAGCCAGAGCTCCAACCTCATCACCCACAGCCGCAAGCACACAGGCTTCAAGCCCTTCAGTTGTGAGCTGTGCACCAAGGGCTTCCAGCGCAAGGTGGACCTCCGCCGTCACCGTGAGAGCCAACACAACCTCAAATGAGTCTGGCTGCCAGCCTGCTCCAGTGTCTCACCCGACGGTCAGCCTCACATTCCGACCCTTCTCCTCCATCCTCCTGGAAGCAGCACTGGCCAAGAGACTGCCGGCCTCTTTTGAGACTCAGGGAGTTGCCGGGTGACCTCAGGCAAGCCACAGGGTGTAGGAGTCAGCCAGGGCCTTCCTGAACTGGAGCAGTCACAGATGCACTCTGTTCTTGTACCCTGCCAGAGCATAAAAAGCTACAAGACCCTAGTGGACAAAACCGGGATGCCAAGGCCAAACAAGAGCAGGGATCCGCAGAGAAACCTTCCTGCCTGCTTCTCTGGGCCTGGGGACTTCGAATTTTTTAAGGGTTCTCTTTCTGACTGCCACAGTCAGAGTTGCCACCTGCCTCGGCTGGAGATCTGGCACACCACTTCTTTAGCCAGATATGCTGGCTGTCATCCATCCTGTCCCCACCCCACCCCCGCCTCCCCCCCCCAGCCCCCAACCCCGCCACATTCATCTGGGAGTCAGGTTCCCAGTCAAGCCACAAGGCTGGGAAATGGGGAGTTGGTGTGTCAGAGACCTGCTCCTCTCGACTGATGTAAATAAAAATGAACGTGGAACTGTTTACATGAGACCACCGTTTGTGACGTGCCTACTAGGTATCTGGACTGTCTGATGACTTTAGAGCCTTGACAAGGAGCTAACAGACCAGCTGAGAAGCATCATGACCAGTGCCCCGGAGGGCGGGGCTAGTGCTGCTTCGGGCAGTATCAGTCTCCTGCAGCAGCTGTAAGGAATAGCCTTGTGAGTGTGGCAAATGGAACTTGGCAGGAGTGATTAAGTTTAGCCTGGGGCTTCTGCCTGACTAGCTGTGTGACTTCGGGTGTGACCCTGAGCCTCTCTGGGATTCAGCTTCACTGAGCAACATCGCAATCACAACAGCCCTGTCCCAGAGGGAATATTAGCAGGATTCACTGAGACTACCAATGGAAAATAGTGCACAGAGCCCAGTTCTTTCAAGCACTACAAAGTCCTCAGCATTCCTGTCAAAGACCTGCCCCTCCAATAAGGCCATGCCAGTGCCACCTTCTCCAGGAAACCTCCCTTGGCCATCCCAGAGGCTCTCTCCTCTGACACTAAACTACTTGTAGTTCTTGCCCATAGCCTAGGAGCTGCTCACAGTCCTCTGTAGACAGTTTTGGCCTTGGGAGAAGGTACAGACACAAGAATTTCCATACATTTTCTCCACTCAGCACAACCCTCTACAAGGCATGCAACATTGTCCCATTTTACAGATGAGACAGCAGAGGCTCAGAGAGCACAGCATATTGGAGATAAGAGGGTGTCCAGAAAAGAAATTCCACAGGGGCTTGACACAGTGCTTGCCTAGAATGTGTGAAGCTTTGGGTCCAATGCTTGATTTTCTTTTTTTTTTTTTTTTTTTTGGTTTTTTGAGACAGGGTTTCTCTGTGGCTTTGGAGGCTGTCCTGGAACTCGCTCTGTAGACCAGGCTGGACTCGAACTCACAGAGATCTGCCTGCCTCTGCCTCCCGAGTGCTGGGATTAAAGGCGTGCACCACCAATGCCCGGCCCAATTCTTGATTTAAAAAAAAAAACCCACAACCAAAAAGCAAAACAAAAAACCCTCAAAGAATTTCATTGTCTTTAAATTGCTCCTCTGCAAAACACAGTTTAACTCTGTGTGTGTGTGTGTGCGCGCGTGCGCGCGTGCGTGTCCCAGTACTCAGGAGGCAGAGGCAGGTGGAGCTCTGTGAGTTTGAGACCAGTGTGGTCTACAGAGTGAGTTCAGGACAGCCACAGCTACACAGCATGGCCACGGCTACTTGCGGAAGGAGAGGTTTATTGGGGTTTATGATTCCAGAGGGGTAAGAGCCGTCACTGCGGGGAGCATGGCAGCTGGAGCAGGAGCTGAGGGCTCACATCTTGAACAGCAAGCTTGAGGCAGAGAAAATGAGCTCAAAATGGCACAAATCCTTAACTTCAAATCCTGCCTTTGGGGACATACTTCCTTCAACAAGGCCATGCCTTCTAAATATCCCAAACAGTGCCATCGAGTAGGGACCAAGTGTCCAAATGTCTGAGACTGTGAGAGACATTTCATTCTAACCACCACAAGGGCTGTCCCTCTCACAGGGACCCAGGGCTCATTGATTCAGATAGGTGGGAGGGCCCAAGCCAACACGGCAATCCTCCTGTCTCTGCCTCCCCAGCACTACAAGTATGCAGCTTCACACCTGGCTGCTTTTGTGAGTACTAAAGAGCAAATTCAGGTCCTCATGCTTACAAGGCAAGCTGCTCTCAATCCAGGCCAGCCTTGACCTCTTAAGATGACTTGTTTAGGGTGTTTGGCCTCCTGGCTACAAATGTGAGACTCTTTCTGCCCAGACAAGGCAAGGAACTGGCCCAAAGCCACCCTTAGTGTGTGTGTGTGTGGGGGGGGGTTGGAGATACCTCAGCTAAGGAGATACAGTATGAAGGTAGGGAATGGGTAGAGGAGATACTCTGTGCCTACACGTACTCCTGCTTCTGTGTACACACCCCCCCCAACACACACAGACCTGCTTTGCATGTGTCTTGTTTGCGAAACAAAACCAAGACAATACCAGGGTTTCAGCCACTTCTGCAGTGTGTGTGTGGGGGGGGGCGGAGGTGGGGAGGAGAACAGAGACTGGAAAGCAGGTGAACTCCCTCCTCCAGATTGGCTGAGGTTGAGGGTGGGTGAGGTCAGGGGCAGTCAGATTGCTCATCTACTGAGTGCCCCCACAGCAGAAGGGGAAGAGACCACAGCGGCCTCAGAGTAGGGAGTGGGCTGATACTCTGTTTCATATCACAGGCCAAGGTGGGTGTGGGTGCAGGTACCAGGGCCCAGGCTGCCAAGGCTTTATGGCCCAGGCTGGGCTGGCATGGCTCTGTGCCCAGAGATGATGGGGCTGTGCGGGACAGGTTTCACACAGGCAGCAGCGCAGGAGCTGAGGAAGCCTGGAGATACCTTACCGACTGGAGTGTAATAGCGGGAGCACAGCTAGCTACAGAGTCTCTGTCTCCACCGTGACACCTCATGCTGGGGGAGGCTGGTTCGGTGGGTGCGGTGAGGCACCGCCCATTTGCTGGAATTTGAGGGAAGTTCAAGACCCTCGATCTCTACTTCTGACTCTTGGCTTCCTATCTGGACAGAAATTCCCATTGCTTGTGTCACTGTATAAACTGAGGGACACTACCCAGTCCTGTAAAAAAAAATTACCTGTCACTTCCATTTGCCACAGACCCAGAGACGGTGGCTCTCACTCAAGGTCACACGGACAGTTAACAGCCATATCAGAATCCAGTTTTCCAAGCCTCAATCCTGCAGCTGGCCCTCCCAGCCGTGGGGGCCCCATTGACATAGAACACGGTACGGTGTGGACTCAGGAGTTGTACAGTGTGGTGGGAGGATATGGGGGTTAGGGTGGGGCTGCCAGCCCTAACTCCTCCATGGAGGGCAGGGTAGGCATGGAGGGGGAAACTGTAGCAGGGTGTCAGTAAGCTGCTCAGTGGCAAATATCCAAACAAATGCTTTGGGGCTGTCGAGATGGCTCAGTGGCTAAGAGCCATTTTACAGAGGACCCCAGTTTGACTCCCAGCACCCACATCAGGTAGTTCATAACTGCCTATAAGTCCATCTGTCTTCAGGGGAATCCAGCCGGTGGCCTCCAGGGGTACCAGCAGCGGTTGTGCATACACACACAATCAGAAATAAAAGGAATCTTTTTATTTAAATTAGAAACAAGCTTGCTTCACATGTCAATCCCAGCTCCCTCTCCTCTCCCGCCCCCTAAAATAAATATTTTTTTTTGGTTTTTACGAGACAGGGTTTCTCTGTATTGTTTTAATATTTTTTAAACCAATATTTTAATATTGAAACAAATTGACCACGTTAGGAAGTAGAGTGTCGCATAAAATATCTCCTTTGCGGTGGCTTCTTGACGCTGCATCCCAGCGCTCGGTTCTGTGTTCGTGGGAGTGTGGGTAAAGCCTGGCCCACGGTTGCGATGTAAATCACTGATAAGGATGAAAATGTCCCCTCAGGTCGGCTGAGGACTGTGAGTGGCTGAGTTGTCCCATACCGCTCCTCTCAACCCCTGGCAGAATGTGCTGGCTGGGAACACAAGGTGGGCGGGTGAAGGCCTGAAGGCCAGGGCTGGGTGCTGAGCGTTTGAGAGTGAAGAGTTGTGCTACCTTTGAGACTGGAACAGCCCCCAAGGGTCCTTAAAGCCCTGGTACGGTCCACCCCACCATCCAGCTGGGACCTAGACCTTGCTGCTCTTGGTGACCCCGCTTTCATGGGTGACCCCAGTCCTTAAATTTAGAGCCCTCACTCCGTTCTGTCAGTGCCCTACCCACTCTATATACCCTCTCAGGTGAATGGGGGGAGTTCCCAAGGGAACAATCTAAGAATGAGGAAGGAACTTGGCCCTCTGGGTGCAGACACAGACAAAGGACTCTTCTCTGTTGGGCCTGAAGACAGGAAAGATGAACGCTGCGGAGAGCTGAGCTTTGGAGGGTGACTAAGGCAGGCAGGTAACGCTGTGGCCTTCGGGGAGTGAAGTGTCCCAGGATAGAGGAGAGGCAGAGACAGGGACAGAGCAAGGGAGACCCAGGCTCTGCGGGGCCCTCTAGCCCTGAGCACTCCAGAAGAACAGCAGGTCTTCTCCATCGTATCCAGGATGCTCCCTCCGTGGGAGCACTCTTCTTTCCCTCCATAAACCCACTCAGCCTTATGTCCAAGCTCAGGGACCCCAGACCCTTATTCCACTCCTAGGGAGGCAATCAAGAGATGAGTGGGCACAGAGTCACACACGGGGGTGGCGCACGCCTTCATCCCAGCAGCTGGGAGGCGGAGGCAGGCGGATCTCTGTGAGTTTGGGGCCAGCCTGGTCTACAGAGCGAGTTCCAGGACAGTCAGGGCTACACAGAGAAATCCTGTCTTAGAAAGAGAAGAAGAAGAAGAAGAAGAAGAAGAAGAAGAAGAAGAAGAAGAAGAAGAAGAAGAAGAAGAAGAAGAAGAAGCATCCCCAGTGCCCACAAGAACCAGTTGGCCACATACCTGGCGGTCCACTTGCACATGATTTGAAAAGGGTGAGCATGCTTTGTAATGGTTGGTCTGATGGGTGTCTGTAAGGCAGTTCGGATGCAGGGAGAACATCAGACCAGAAGGACATGCCAGTCTGTTGAAGCAGCACAGCTGTTTGTCTGACAGTCCTCCGTGCTCACAGCCTCTGAGCCTGCCGACCAAGGATGGGGGAACTTATGGGGATAAAGAGCCTGAACTGAGTATGCTCAAAACCTTTCTCATTATTTTGTAACAAAAATTTGTTTACTGTTATTTTATGTATATGTGTCTGCGTGGCTTTATGTGTACTGTGTGTGTGTGTGTGTGTGTGTGTGTGTGTGTGTGTGTGTGTGCCTGCAGAGGCCAGAGAGAGCATTGGGTACCCTAGAACCTGAACTACACTTGGTTGTGAGCCCAGAATGTGGATGCTGGGACCTGAACCTGGGTCCTCTGTAAGAAGAGCAAGTGCTTCTAACCACTGATCCATCTCTCCAGTGTCCTTTCCCCATTGTTTCAC